CTCCTCTCCGCGAAAATTGAGCAATCGTCCGTCTTGATCCACAACGCGAACCGTCAGGTCCGTAATGCTCCGTACGATGATCGGAAGGTAAATGATCTGTGCAGGTCTTTCCGATATCTTATATCCTGGTGGCACCCTCGGCGAAAACTCGTGTATCGTATGTACGCACTTGTCGTTGCTGTATGCACCCGCAGTCATGTTGCATTCAATACGAATGATGTTTACATTGATGATATTTATCGACGTGTTTGATTCATGCCACTGTTGTGGTTCCAGTACGCGATTGGACGAAAATCCAAACAGCGATCCAATGTTGTGAGGTTTGGTAAAATTTACTCGATAAGCGCACTTGATCTCGCTTTTCATCGTATTGTTATTGGCACGAATAGTCAAAGGGTACTCTTCATCCTCTTTGCGAAGTTTTTTCTCTCTTACATCGTTGGAACGAGATTGTAGAATTGCACGTCTCAGATACTTGTTTAAGTCTTGTATTTCGTACGATCCTTCGGGAATAACAATTTCCTTGTCATCTTCGTCGAAGTAAAACTTATTATTCGATGAATTTACATTAGATATCGTGTGGTAGGTTTCAAAGTCCGTCAGACCGAGCTCGTAATCACCATCGCTCAAATCTACTGCTGGAAAGTAACAGGCCGCGAGGACGTTACTCTTACCGGTCAGCGTAAACGTCAGTGACATGTTTGAACGAATACTGAGTTGAAACAGTGCGATGTCAGTTCTTAAATTGATCATCAACCATCTGTAAAAACTGTAGGCACAGTTGTCCACAGTTACTTTGATCGTATCGTTGATAAGGCGTACGATTATATTCGATTTGCGTCACGTTCAGATATCGCACCAATTCTTTCGGTGGCCGAAGATTGCCGAAACTGTCAAAGTAAATAACACGATCTCCTCGCTTCGCGTACGCCACCCAATGAGTACCTGATCCCTCGGCATTATCCAACGATACCGCTCTCGTTTCGATACATCCCCTTTGTTGGTAACGAAGTACGCATAAAAATACCTCTAAAATATGGAATACGCATACGTTTCGCCAGTTGTTGTAGTTGTACGTTGGTAACTTTACATTTTGGTAACTTTACATTACAAAAATGCCAAAGGGTGTAACTCACCCTTTGGCATTTTTGGCAATTGTTTGACGTTTTTTTTTTCCAATCTTTTTAATTTTTTTCCTTGAGATTCCGCGACCACGCTTGTACGGGGCGAGATAAACTCCATGACCTTCTATAACGCGGTTATGACGTTTTAATTCTTCCAGTTGATGTTGCGCGGCTTTACTATCGTTTATAGCCTTCGCGACTCTTGCCGCGCCGCCGACCAACGAGCCTACGACTCCCAGCAGCGGTAACATAGGTAAGATACCACCGCGTTTTGCTACCGGAAGTATTCGCTTTTTCATAGACTTCTTTTTCTTCGTTTTCAAGCCCATACCGATTTTCGTCTTGGCTTTCATAGCCGCCCAGACAGCTGTAGCAGCAGCTCGCTCTCCGAGAGTCGAATCTTTCGCGGTAATGCGTTTCCGCGCCTCCTCTGTGAGTATGTTGTCAGCTACGTCCCGTTTCGCGAGACCTTTACAGCGCGAATAAGCTATGTCGTGTACGCGACACGCCTCGTCCAGCGGATTAATACCTCGATCGCCTCTAGCCAATCGCTTCACTAAACGTGTTCCCGGTCCGTAAAATTGATATCCGGGATTATGCAATTCGATCGGAAGTGCGTTTATCGCGTGATTTAAAAGGCCGCAGCCTCTTGTCGTTGACATTTGCTACAATCTTTTATAAATGGCGCTGGACCATCGATGTGCGATCGATGACAGGGCAAATTGTAATGTTTCAAGCACCGACGATGTTGCTGTACCTCTGAATCAGCCTTTATATATTCAGGCAATCTGTCCCACAGTCGATCTATGTAATTCTTAAACTCTCGTAGCAAAATAATTTTCGGTATGTATTCCAACTCTTCGGTTGTTAAACCATGTACATCGCAGTTGTCCGACACGATAAGAAGCATTTCGATTACTGAGCGGTTTCGCTCAACGCGCTACTATAAATAGGTCCGCTCTCGATGTCGCTTTGTTTTCATTTTGTATCAGTGTCGTGGAAGGAGAAGATATGAAGTTCGTGCAACAATCGCAGACAATTAAAGTGACTAATGTCGACGATAAAGTACAGACTGAAAAAGAAATGCGCAAGCATGGAAACATGCTGCCGATTTCTATACGCGGTGTCATCTGCGGTCCATCGAACTGCGGTAAAACAAACGTGTTGATAAGTTTGCTGGAAAGTCCACATGGCGTACGCTTCGAGAACGTGTACGTGTACTCGAAATCGTTGCAACAGCCAAAATATCGATACTTGGAGAATTTATTAGAACCGATTGAAGAAATAGGTTATTTTACATTCTCCAATAACAGCGATGTAGTTCCATCGAACGAGGCGCTTCCAAATTCCATTTTTGTCTTCGATGACGTAGCATGCGACAAGCAAGACGCGATTAGAGAGTACTTTGCGATGGGTCGACACGCGGATGTCGATTGTTTCTATCTCTGTCAGACGTATGCAAAGATACCGAAGCATCTCATACGCGATAATGCGAATCTATTGATCCTGTTCAAACAAGGTGATACCAACCTTAAACACGTATACAATGACTACGTAAACACCGACATGTCTTACGAGGATTTCTGTGAACTGTGTCGATGCTGTTGGCAACAAAAGTATGGTTTCGTAGTGATAGACAAAGACAGTGCTTTTACGAATGGGCGATACAGAAAAGGATTTAACGAGTTTGCGATACCGTAACGTGGTTAGTCGTTGTCGATACGTCAACTACGAAACGTTCTCCCGCGTAAGTGCAACATGGATAGCAGCAAAGAGCTCAAGGATCGCGAGAGAATAGCGAAACAAATCGCGAAAACGAGTGATTCGATTCGTAAAAAGTATCGCGCTTTAAAAACAGGCAAAATAGACGAAAATATAGCATTGGAGAAACACTTTAAGCCTGTCGTTGAACCTCTAAAACAGATTGTCGAAAACACTGCTGCTGGCGAGGAATATCAACCGATTAAGAAAGAAGTCAACAGTACGAAGTATAAAAATACTAAGAAAAGAAAATTTGAAGAAGAAGAAGATGATAATGATGATAATTACTGGATGGATAATGCATGGCTTCAATTAACACCATCAAAGCAACGTACGAAAGAATCGAACGTTACGCCGGATTCATTCAATTCTACATCGCTTGAACCGCGTAAATTATCGTACGAATGTTCGCACGTACCCGCAGTCGAAGACGTTTATGAAACGCCGAATGAACCGCTTGAAACATTAATTAAGCAATCTTTGCAAACGCGACAATTTCGTGAAGAGTTGAATAATCAATTGGGACCACTCGGACAAAAATACGTAAATATGCTTCTCAGTGGCGACAGAGAAAAGGCGATCGATCACGTTTATGGTATACTCGTATATCTCAACGAGAACAGCACGATGCTCGGTGACAAACGGTTCGATGTAGACACGAATGACTTTGTGATCATAGATGGAGTAAAGTACAAAGGGACACCTGGATTGTACGAATTAATTTTCAAGAGAATTCCCGATGACGCTATTTACACAGAGAATGACAAACTAGCGTATAAAAGTATACTGTTGGCAACAAATGCTCATAGACGCAGCCATAATGCGGATAATCCAATATTGGGTAACAAAGGGTACAAATATAAGAATATAATAGCACCCATTGTATCAAGTAAAATACAAGTTAGAACAGATATACCACTTGCCATGACACTAAACGACGAGTCAGGTAAAAGAAACGGGGGAAAGGGTGTGATACCACTCGCCATGACACTAAACGACGGGTCAGGTAAAAGAAACGGAGGAAAGGGTGTGATACCACTCGCCATGACACTAAACGACAATAAAATCGATTATGTTCATTGGGATGATCCTAACGAGCTCGTGGATCGGCTCCGATTGCTCGAGGCTTCACGTCAAGCGGGTCACAACGCTCACGATAACGAAATTTTGTCCATTATCGAGGAACTTCGTGAAGTTGGGCTTATTATAAATTGAAATGGGATATGCAGTCGTCTTTTAGTCGACACTGAAGTATCGGTCAACAACGTTTGCGTAAGATCTTTGTGACATTATACGCATTATACTAAGAATAAAATAAAAAAAAAGAAAAAAAAATGTCTAAGAAGAAAAATCTCGAAAAGTGGCGACTGGTAGAAGAATTGCACGCTCCAGCGAGAAAAAATTTTCCACGCAGACGTGTCATAGTTTACGGATACGATGACCTGTGGCAGGCTGATGTGGTCGAGATGCGCCCTTACACACGATTCAACAAAGGATATCACTATATTCTCACCATAATCGATGTGTTGAGTAAGCACGCATGGGCCTTGCCGCTCAAAACCAAGAGTGGAAATGAGATGGCTACAGCGATCGCAAAAATAATTCGAGATGATGGAAGATGTCCGAAAAACTTGCAAACCGATATGGGAAAAGAATTTTACAAGACAAACGTACAAAAACTCTTGAAGGAGCACAACGTGAACCATTATTCAACGTATTCCGTAATGAAGGCGTCGGTCGTGGAACGGTTCAATCGCACGTTGAAAAACGACATGTGGAAACAATTTACGCACAATGGAAATTATAAATGGATCGACATGCTGCCGCGTCTCGTATCGGATTACAACACGCGCAAGCATCGCACCATCGGCATGCGACCTTCTGACGTAACTCCCGCTATCGCCGAAAGACTCTTGGGTACGGGTTGTGTTCCGAAAGCTGTGTCGAAAATTTTGTTTTTAGTTACAAGATTGGTAGCGCTGTAACTAACATAGCTGTGTTCGGTAAGGTACGTTTGGTAAGAGATCAGCTGACATCATTTTTTGCTTAAGACGTTACGACAAGTTTGCATTTGCTTTATCGGTTGGTCTAATTTGTTATTAAAAAATGGATTTATTTATATTTGATGAATTATTTTCAAGTTCAAGTGAAAGTTCTGAAAGTGAAGAAGAAATAATAAATATTGTTTATGACGATAATGAAAATCATCCGAAAAGAAAGAAAGCAAGAGTTCAAAATTTTATTGAAAATGTAATTTGTAAATACAACAATGAAGAATTTCGAGAAAATTTTCGGTATGTGTAAAATTGATTTAATAATCTATATGTATGTATGTATGTGTACAAAAAACCAAAAACAAATAATTTTTTATTTTAGAATGCGATATTCAACCTTTAATTATCTCTTACATTTATTAAGAAATGATTTAGAAGTAGAAAATTTTTCAGGAAGAATGCCTATATCTGCAGAAAAACAATTGTTCATTGCTTTGTATATACTGGCAACACCAGATTCATACAGGTTACTATATTGATTAAAATTATTTTTTATAAAAGCATAATTGTTATAATATATATAATTAATTTTTTATTAATTTTATTAATTAAAGATCTGTAGTTACAAAATTTGACGTTGGTAAGGCAACAGCTTGGCGATCATTACGAAGAGTTGTTAAAGTTCTTTGTAAATATAGAAATTACTTTATTCGATGGCCAAATCAAGAAGAAATGGATGAATGTAGCCAAACATTACAAATTCAATATGGTTTTCCTAGAGTTATCGGAGCTCTGGACGGAACACATATTTATATATCAGGTCCAACTCATGATAGTCAATCTTATATAAATAGAAAGGGAAGACACTCTATTCAATTGCAGGTATATACATTTATTATAATATTTTAAAATTTTATATTAACGTAGTATTTTTTTAATATTTAAAATAATTGTTTATACAGATTGTATGTAATCATAAATTGCAATTCTTGCATTGTTATGCTGGCCTTCCTGGGTCCGTGCATGATATGATAGTATTTAAATACTCAGGACTACAACAAAGATGTAATGATGAATATTTCCCAAATATTACTCACATTATCGCAGATTCAGCTTATGTATTGCAAAAACACATTATGTTACCCTATAAAGATAATGGTCATTTAACTGCTCAGGAAATAAATTACAATAACGTTCTCTCTAAAACTAGAATGATAGTAGAGAGATCAATCTGATTATTAAAAGGAAGATGGAGATGTCTTTTGGATAAACTACCTATGCGAAGGACAGATTTGATTCCATACTATATAATAAGTTGTTGCATCTTACACAACATCTGCCTACTTCAAGATGATAATTTTGAGTATCCAGTCATCATCAATGATAATGTGGTTGCGGAACCAGAACCAATGATTATAAATCAATTATTGCAAGACGAAGGATCAGCGAAAAGAGAAGAAATAAAAATTAGATTAACTACTTAATTTGTATATTATCTAAATGAGATGTAATAATTTTAATGTTTTTATTTTGAAACCATTAAACAATAATATGTATTTTAAAGATTTATAGATAATAATCAGTTATTTAAAATATTTGATTTTTTATTGAATTATTACACGTGTATTCACATACAAAGTCCTTATAAAGTACTAAGAAAATAATGTTTTACATATCTTTATATGAATATTTTCACAGTAGGATGATATTTTTATCACAGCTTCATTCCGTTTAATCTATGTTATTCCATATTATTTATTATTAAACCTCAAAAATAAAAAACCTCATAAAAATAAAAAAAACAGATGCAATTTTGAAATTAACTTATTATCTATTTATAATAATTAAAAAATTCTTGGAATAACTTCCTAACAAAACTAATTTCTAAAAATTTCGATATTGCTCTTTTTTCACAATAAATAAACTAATTTGTACATTCACACAATTAAAAATAGATAAAATATAAATTAGATTATTATAAAAGAATTATATTCAAAATATTTTTTACGCGTCTACATTAATTAAGTTATGATACTATTGTTATAAACTTCCAAAAAATTCTTTTATAATAACCTTAACAAATCTTAAAAAAAGAAACGATCTACAAAAAAACGTTAAACTGAACCACACTTAACAAAAAATGAACCACATTAAAAACATATATTATCGCTTAAAAAAAACATTCTAATATTTAGATATAATTTAACGAAAGTTTAAAGTCTTACAAAGTAAAAGATAAAACATTTCTAACTTATAATTATTTCATACTTTTTGCAATTTCTTTTAAAATGCTCAGTTTTGTATTTCTATATTCATCAGTTGCTTCTCTCTGCATCTGTTTATGTCTTTTATATTCTTCTATAAATTCTAATTTCCAATTGGATGATAAATTCGATTATCTGATACTTTTCGGCGCTCTAAAATAAAATAAAATAAATATGAGAAATGTTTATAAACAATAGATACTAATACAACAAAACAATATTTTTAAACAATCTTAACTAGATGGTAATTGGCTTCCTATTGGAATATCTGAACCTGCTGAAGATAATGGCTTTATCCAAGGTTTTTTTGAAAATAGATTATCCATAATCTATATAAAAAAAAATCAAAAGCATAAATTGTATATGCGCGTGGTGAATAATGCATTAAATAATAATGTAATAGGAAGACTAACAATGTCTTAAATGTATGAATTACACAAATCATTTTCTACTTTATTATATAAAATACCTACATCATAAT